TTTTTTTAAGGTCAAGTGCCATTGCCCGGTCTATATTTGCCCGATTCTCCAAACACTGATGTTTCTTCTAATCTATCGTCAGTAAGTATTAAAATATCGAATAAATGTAATCTATCGTCAGTAAGTATTAAAATATCGAATAAATGTAATCTATGGTCAGTAAGTATTAAAATAACGAATAAATGTAATTATATCATCAAATAAAGGTAATTATATCCGGCCGATTCCCGAAATCAAGAAAGATTGGACATTGGCCAGCCATCCTAAGTCACTTCGCGATCTGGCCAGCCATCCTATGTCACTTCGCGATCTGGCCAGCCATCCTATGTCACTTCGCGATCTGGCCGGCCGATTCCCCCAGTGAATCCCCTGTGAACATTTCCTGTGAACCCCCAGACCCACATGTAAAGGCTTTTCATGACTATATTTTCGTCAAAGAATCTAAAAATATGTTACAGTAAAAGTACCTGGTACCATGGGAAAATTTCAAATAACTTAATTAAAGATTAATTACGTTACCTGAGGCAGTAAACACAGGTTTTTCTTGCTCATTGAGAGAACATTTAACATAGTAGCTAGATCTTCAGAATATCTACATAAAGGTCCTGTAGAAAGATAATCATCTACCGAGGCCATTCGCTTGGGAAGCATACCGTCAAGTGAAGTCAATCCTAATCGCAAGAAATAAATAATACATATTAAAAAAAATAAACGCTTTAAATTTTTAAAATTTTTATTTATGAAATTTCAAATAAACCACTATAATGACGTTTATTATGATAATGTAATAATTGTAAAATTAATGCTAGGATTTTCATTGTCATGCAGAATTTTAATAAACAAGGAATTTTTATATACAAAATATTGTTGGATAGGAGTTTAATTAATAAGCACAAATGTAATAAATTACTGCAGAAAGGTAGATGCCAACTTGCTTCGGTTGCAGAAAATTTTTCTTTTAGTGTACAGGGCGGTAAGTGGTCCCTTAAAGTTGCTGCGGTGGCAATTAACAAACGAGTTAAAATTTATCTGGTTCAGCAACCACTTACCTAAATGTTATAAATGTCCAACCAGTCAAAAAAAAATTTTTTTTACATTTGATTAAGTCATCGAATTATACAAAGCTACAAACTCTCCACGATTTTTTGGGAGAAAAAATTTCTATTTGTCGCTAAGTTTATGCAAACTAGGTTGTTATTATGTTGGTATCTATATATATATTTCTCTTACACGGCGACAAAAAAAAAGCCTCACTACAACTCCCCGAATGGCAACGTTAGGAAATCGACCAATGATTGCCACTAAAAATGTCTCGTGCCAAATTTAGTGAGATGGCTCAACATATAGCGCTTTTAAAAACAGAAACTTAAATAACCAGGGAGAGCATAAGCTAGGCAGAAGCGAGTAGTCTTTGTCGATAGATCTCTATTTTAATATTTTGTCAGGAGCGCTTTTTTTTTACGAATTTATATATTACGAATTTATTTGACGATTTTTGATTTATATCACGAATTTATTTGTTTTACTAGATTTCATTTGTTTATGCAGGTTTTTTCATTGCAATTCACTTATTTCAATTTTTAATAGACTTAATTATAGCCAAAATTTTAACCTTTTTAAAGAGATATCAGTTTTAGAAATTTTATCTTAAGATTTTATACTATAGCACATTTCTAATAGGTTTAACGAATTACATGTCATTTATTTGAATTCAAATTTATTTTAA